TTGTAACTTCAGTCTATGAAAATGCGCTATCTTCTGTTTGAATCTGCTCTCAACATTCTAATGATCGTTGTGCTTTTTTATCCAAATAGACAACCAAAACCGGCGCACGAAAGTGTATGGTTAATGGTTGTAAGAACAGAACAAACAAGGTAGTTAATAAAAGTCCAAGAGAATCGTTGAGCTAAGGCTAAGTAAATCGGTGATGACATGCACAAGGAGAACTGTTTGTAATCCTATATCCAATCGAACGATTATCAGTCTGTCAATGCTGTTGCATCTCAGGAAGGATGCCACCTGAAAACTAACGAAAAATTCAAAACAGTTGATGGAGTGATCTTTTCTTGGTTTGTCGCTATGATGGAAAAGCACTGTAAGTTCCCTGTTGTGGAGAGCATTGTTTGTAAGAAAACGATTAGACTAGCATAAAAATGCATCCAAGCGTTGGTTTCTCTCTTGATTAGACAGATAAGGTATTCAGTCCTACAAATGAAGAGTCGAGCGACAAGTCACATGTATTACGTTTTAGGTTTGACGGTATTCCGTGATGCAGTGGATGATTTTCCAGTGGGTTTATCGCGATTGATCCATAGATATGCAGGATGTGGTGTTTCCAATTATGATGAAACAGCCTTTATTACAAGCAGCTTCCAGAAAGAGCATTGAGTCTCAGGGGACAAATAGGTTCTGGACCCAATAAATCCAAAGAACGGATCCCTTTAGTGCTTGAAGAGAGCATGACTGTGAAGAAGCTATCACCACTGGTTGTTGGAAAATTTCAAACTCCACGATATCTCCATGGTGTAGATGGCAAAAGCATGTCCCTTATAATTCTTCCCGAAACGCAAGGACGAATGCGTTATTCTAAATTTAGTTGTCCGATATCGACCGAAAGATATCTGCTCAAGGACATCATTTTAGATAACCGGCTATAGCCAAGCCACAACACTCTTGAGTGTAAAATTTGCTAGTTTCCCTTGCACCTGTTCTTCAGTGTTACAACTAAGGGATCAGAGTATCATTCCGGAAATGTTTAATTAAGTTTTTTTCTTTGATAGGAGATGAGCCATCCAACATGAAAGCCGAAATAAACATTCTCATGGCAATGCATCTAGTCATAAAGCTAGGATATCTGTTCATCCGGAAGTGCCGATCAAATAGATCTTTGTAATTTACACTTCCTTTTCCTGCAAAACTGTTAACGTTCTTTTATCCTTTCTTTCTTTTTATCCTTTCTTTTTTCTTTTTTATCCAGCTTTTGTGGTCATTTTTGATACTTTGGTCACCAGAGCCGCCACGAAGTTTATAATATAATAATAATAATAATATAATAATAATAATATAATAATAATAATAATAATATAATATAATAATAATAATATAACTCTCATTGATGAAAGCGAAATTCGGTTGATCGATGTGTGTCGTACTAACATAGGTTTGCAAACGGGTGAACGATAATCTCAGTTGTCCTTACTAGAGCACAGGAGAAATTGGACTATCCATAGGTCATCCTAACAACTACAACCGGGGTAGAACGAGCCCCTTTTTGTGTTTGAGCGATTCAGTTCTAATTCATGAATCGGGCTTTAGCATCACGTGATGAGCCTAACAATTCGAGAAGCCAAGTGGTCGCTTTTGCCGCTTTTTCGACGTTTTGTAACTGTTCTTTTTTTAGGTGAATTTTCAATCCAGCATTTTTCGTGACTGTTTTAGTTTGATCTGATTTTTATTTCCTCTAAATTTACTTCGTATCGGGTATCAGTATTCGATCTACAACCAAATGCTCATTTTGACCACTTTCGTACTTGACAGTTTGTTGCTCTGGCTAGCTAGACCCGATCGATACATTCGACATGACCAGCATTGATCGATATCAGTGACGGTGCTGACTCACGACCTCGGTGACTTACTAAGCTCATCTTTATGATGCTACACTGTGATGCACGAAATAGACATGCATCGCTCTAACTATGCTGTAGTGGGCTCGTTGGACTCTGATCGTAGTTGTTGGGATGACCTTTGATGACTGAGCCATCCAGTTTTTTCAGTGCCCTAGCAAACACAACCAGTGGTGTTATCTGTAGCTTAACATACTAATAAACAACTGGGAAGGTTCAATGGAGGTGTGTGCTCCATACCGAGATATCGAAGCTTTATTACTTCTTCCCACTTAACAGTGTCACACGTTTGTGTCGGATTTTTACACACAACAATTTCACGTTGCAGTACATGTGGTTTCATTAATATTTTTTTCTCAGTTCCATTTTTACTTCCTTTTATCGAATATATAATACAACTTTCAAGGAGGGGAAAGCGGCCAATCAACGGGCTGCCATTCGATAACTGAGGAAACTGGTTTCGACCATTAGAAGACGTTGTCATCTAACGCTAACGATTCATGGGAAAAAGTGGGTTGAAATGACCGCCTGGCCATTCTGACTAATAATATCCCGGCTTTTCCAGTGTTGATCGGTCGCTAAGGTGATGGCTAATATCGACGGGACTAATGCCAACCAACCACGGCTGACCATCAAGAATACATCGATCGGTTTCAGTAAGCAACAGCAGCAACAAAAACTTACGAATGAATTGTTGCTCCTAAACACTGGATACCCTCGGGTTAGGCAGAGGTGATTGCTACCAGGCGCGTCCCCGGGTTGTGGATAGGGATATACCTTCACCGAAGAAGGTTAGCTGTGAATAAGTTGTGGCATACCGCAACAAATAAGTAGTCGCGAACAAACGGCGGTGGCACTACCAGGGTGTGGTGGGTTTCAGGCTGGTCACGTGGCTCCTGTTTAAAAGCCCAATGAAGGTGTCGTGACAAAGGTCGATGTGACTGGCCTTTTGAAACTATAGTCATTGACCCCCTCACTTCCGAGGCGGGGGATTACTACTTGCTGCCTTGCAGTTCGCACTTGATTGTGCAAAGACTAGAGGTGCATCCTCAAAACAAAAGAACGCCCGAGTGATGCTGGGGACTCCTCTCGTAGCCAAACTCCCAAGGAACTCCGTGAGCATGATCATAATCATGTCTGGTGCCGGCTCATCCTTTCCAAGGAGCCAGCCGTAGTAAAGTAAAGTAGTAGACACTGTGGTGCACGCTGTTTTTTAAATCATGAATGGATGACACAGTGAGTTCGGAATATGGAGAAGGATTCAATGTACTTTGTATGCCCAGTCACAGGCGTTTCACAGTTTTCTTCACAGCCAATCCCATATGCTCTCTTTCTGTCGTTCTGTCTGAGTAGACCATAAAGGCATAACTGAAATGAGCATCGTGAGTTTCCACCATGAACTTGAAATAGGTGAGATGATTGGACAACTGAAAAATGTCTCACGGGTTCGAGCAGATCTCTGTGCGTATCCCATATTTCAGTCAGTTAGTGTATGCAATCAATAGCTGCACGAAGGATNNNATATTGTTCTCAGGAACAGTAAACCTACTCCTTTTAAGAGTATCTGTTAGCCAATATACGTCATTTCAGGGATAAAATTTACTCTCAATAATATGTTCCCAATGCGGAATATTATCTCAATTGGTAATCCTCTTCAAAATGAACTGTTGTGCATTTCCCTTCTATCTGTTTTCATTGTTTAGGTACTTCGTCGTCTGGCCTGTGCACTGATCCCTAATCCACGAATCAGTTTTGTTCAACACATACTTCGGCCGCATGCGGATTTGTACGGACCATTTTGGATCGCGACCACACTCATTCTTGCCGCAGCTATCGGAGGCAATGTGTCGAGTTACATGCAGTCGCGCGGTCAAGTCACCACGTGGAAATATGACTTTCGCAAAGGTCGGTCCTATTTAGCCGTCTCATCATTCTCTCAATTGTTCTATCCACTGCGGACGTGTATTCTCACACCCACTGTTGATGTGATTTTTAGTATCATACACATTGTTTGAGGGAAATTCTCTAGTTCGCAGAAACTCCAGAAAAATCGGCCCAGTCCGGTTGCCTTGTCCCTTCTGTGCGGTTCACTTTACTGTATTTCCAGAGTTTTATTCGCTAATAAGTACATAAAGATGCTAGCGCCAAACCATTTCCGTTGTTCTTTGAAGTATTCTGTTTCGGCGGTCAGATCACTGCCTTTCGTTGTGAATCGTTCATTCAATTTCCCCGTACACTTTTATCCCTTGGGATTCACCGACCGTCACTGAAAAGAATAACTATTTACGTTGTATTGATTATTTACCCAGACTGTGTGAGCGTGCATCACCAGTGACACATTTTTCTTCTCATCCGGACGCTTCCGCTCCAGCAAGTTTACGGATTCTTCTTCGATAGGCTAATACCCCGGGATTCGCTCTACGTCCATTCATTCATAAACGCAGTCTGCTATTAGATATACAACAAATGCTTCTAGTCTGATTACACTGTTCAGCAATTCTGTCCTCTTACAGAGCTCCTAGCTCGTTTGTCAGCTGTTCGAGGTGAACACACAGTCGAGTTTTTACGTGCCACAGAGGTCGCTAGGTCTGTGGATTTGTCCGCACTGCAATCAGCATGTGTTTTCTCATTGAATTTCTCTTTAATCTAGTTTAATAATTTCGTTCCATTTTTGCTAATCAATGTACTCGACCGAGTCGAATCGCGAAACCGGGAGATCCAGCGATCTCCACCGTGTAACATTTTAGATACCAATAAATATTGTGCTTGGTGTAACTAATTGGCTTAGAGAGACATCATCACATATCTTGTGGTGAGGTTTCTGTTACTATCTAATCGTTTCACACACTACTTTATATATATTGTGACGAAAATACGCAAGCATATGAATGGAAAGACAAAAGACTACGGGATACACATGCCTAACGAGCGGCAAGAACCACCAAACCGGTCCTGTTCCTTCAGGGAAATCTTGTCCAGTCATTCATGTACGACTTATTACA